CCCTCCCGGCCTCCCCGCCCCCAGGCCCGCCGGGGCCCCGCCCGCAGTAGGTGCTGAGCTCCCGCCGCCGCGGTGTGCGAGCCGCGCCTCCGCGGGCGCCCGGCGCCGGTCCGGCCGGTGCTCCGGGAAGACGGGGCTGACAAGGGGGCCGGAGGCGGCGGGAACCCAGGGTTCTCCAGGTCTCGGAAAGCGGTGGGAAAGTTGTGGCCCCTAAACACGGAGATCCCCCTTCTCCCCGCCAAGACAGCATTCAGAGAGATAACGGAAGTTGCAAGCCCGATTGGAAGCTTCTTGGGGTTAGGGCACCCCCTCACCCCAACCGGGTGCTGTGTCTGTCTGAGTCTCTGCAGGTTTCTAATCTCCACGCGTTGAGGTGGGGAGATCTGGGTCCCCGATCTGAAGCCGCGATCCGGGTGGAGGAAGTGGGTTCTGCACACAACCAGCCCCGCCGCCCCCGGAAACGGAGGCTGGCCTTGCCGGGGATGGAGGAAAGGAGACACCTCCCTGTTCCCCGTCTCAAACCCCCCTTCCCTCCCTCCGATCGGCCCAAAGATTCAGGGCAGCGTCTGACACCGGAGGGCCCGGCTTCCAATCTGGACTGTCCTTATCGCACTGATAGTGTTATCAGCGGTTACACCCCTGGTAGCCACCCAAAATAGGTGTTCACCCAACCGCTGTTCACCGCAGCGCTAGTCAAGGTCACCAAAAGGTGAAAACAGCCCCATGTCCATCAGCTGCGAGGGATGGACAAAACGCAGCGCGCACACACCGTGGCTGTGGCTCAGCCCTCAGGAGGACTGACGCAGGGACACGGGCTCTCGTGTGGAGGAGCCTCAAAAACCTGCTGAGGGAGGGAAGCCAGACATGAAGGCCACATGCATGACTCACTCGTATGAAATGCCCAGGACGGGCAACGCCATGGAGACAGAAAGCCAGATGAGTGGGTGCCAGGGATGGGGGGGAGGGGGTCAATAGGGAGTGACTGCTCCTGGGCTTGGCTGCTGCTGCTGCTGCTGCTTCTTCTTCTTCTTCTTCTAATATATTTTATTGATTTTTGTATAGAGAGGAAGGGAGAGAGATAGAGAGCTAGAAACATCCATGAGAGAGAGAGTCATCGAACAGCTGCCTCTTGCACACCCCCTACTGGGGATGTGCCCGCCACCAAGGTACATGCCCTTGACCGGAATTGAACCCGGGTCCCTTTAGTCCCCAAGACGACGCTCTATGCATTGAGCCAAACCGGTCTCGGCTTCTTTTTTAAAAAAATATATTCTATTGATTTTTTTTTTTTTTTTTTTTTTTTTACAGAGAGGAAGGGAGTGGGATAGTTAGAAACATCAGTGAGAGAGAAAGATTGACCAGTAGCCTCCTGCGCACCTCCAACTGGGGACGTGCCCGCAACCAAGGTACACACCCTTGACCGGAATCGAACCCAGGACCCTTTTGTCTGCAGACCGATGCTCTATTCACTGAGCCACACCAGCTAGGGCATCGGGGTCTTCTTTGAGGGTGATGGAATGTTCTGGAACTAGAGGTTGTCTACAGAAAAAAATAATATCGACCAGTTGTCTTGTCACCAAAGGATTCGTTCGGAAAAAAGAAAGGGCTGCCAAGTGTAGGCAGGTATGGCCAGCCAGGATGGAGGAGCGCGGGTACGAGGGAAGGGAAGTTAAGAGAAGGGGGAGTTAGAGGGTAAACCGTAAAGTTTATCCTCTCTCTCTTCCTCGCCCTTCCTCTCTGACATCAATTAAAAAAAAAAAAAGTTCTAGTTAATCTTTATCAAGGTGGTGGTTGCCAAACGTAGTGATTGTGCTAAATGCTATTGAATCGTTCACTGTAAATGATTAATTTTATTATGTGAATTTAATTTTTTAATTAAAAAAAGAAAAGCCCCACCTAGGCCACTCAGCATCTGGGGTGGCCTCTGGCAAGTGGCCTAGCCACTTCCCCACGCCCCCCCAGAGGTGTTGGGCTTCCCAGCAGGAGACACGGGGGTATCATAAGCGCCAACCTTCCCGCCCTGGGCTGGCCAGTTAAACTGGCGTCCCACCCTCCTTCCTGGCATGTGTCACGCCAGCTCTGGGTGGCCAGGCAGTTGAAAGACCACACGTGGGAAATGCCTTCTGATTTATTTATTTTATTTTTTTATTGATTTCAGAGAGGAAGGGATAGAGGTAGAAACATCAATGATGAAGGAATCATTGATCAGCTGCCTCCTGCACACCCCACACAGGGGATCGAGTCCGCAGCCCAGGCATGTGCCCTGATCAGAATAGATCCATGACCTCCTTGTTCATAGGTCAATGCTCAGCCATGCCGACTGGGATAAATTCCTTTTTGTTGATGTTGTTGCTGATTCTCACCAGAGGACATTTCTTCCATTGAGATATATATCTAATTTATTTTTATTTTTTATTTTTTAGGGAGAATGGAAAGGAGGTTGCACAGAAAGAAACATTGATGTCTCACACAGACTGGTTGCCTTCCTCGCGCGCCTCAACAGAGCCTGCAACCCAGGTATGTGCCCTCGACGGGAATTGAACCTGTGACCCTAGAACAGGACTTTGGAGCCAGTGGAGGTGGCCTCTCCCCATTTCAAGGCCTGAGCCCCCATCAAGGAGCCAGAGTCATGCCCTAACTGGTTTGGCTCAGTGGATAGAGTGTTAGCCTGCCGACTTAGGGGTCCCAGGTTCGATTCCAGTCAAGGGCACATGCCCGGGTTGTGGGCTCGATCCCTAGTAGGGGATATGCAGGAGGCAGCAAATCAATGATTCTCTCTCATCATTGATGTTTCTCTTTCTTGCCCTCTCCCTTCCTCTCTAAAATCAATAAAATATCCTCCTATCTAATAAAGAGAGACTATGCTAATTGACCATCACTCCGTCCCAAAGCTGGCTGCACCCACAGCTGAGGCCAAGTTCCCATAAGGAGCCTTATCGAGCAATCAGCAGGGTCCTGAGGCTACACCCTCCCCTGCCCCTGTGGGGCTTGACGGGGACCTCAAGGTGCACTCCCAGTGCTGGGTCGGGGAAACTCTGGCCATGCACCTCCCCAGCACCACGGGAGAATCTCAGACTGCACCCCCACCCGGCGGGGCTTGATGGGGGACCTCAAGGCACACCCCCCCACCCCGGTCTGGGCTGGGGGACCACAGGCAATGCCCTGTTCCCCCCCCCCCCCCCATCCTGGTGCCAGGCCAGGGGACCTGAGGCTACGTCCCCTGCCCGGTAGGGCTTGACAAGGATGGGACTGGCCAGGTCTGGATCTAGCCCAATGGGGTCAGCTGGGTCTGGGTCTCATGTGATTTTGAGGTGCATGTGGTGGGTGGGGACTTGACTCTGGATCCCAAGGTGCGTCCCAGACTCTGACAGGAGGAAGGTTTTCATATACATTTTACTAATTGTCTTTCATCTCTGACACTTCTATTATAGAGAAAGAGCAAATAGCAAATATTACATTATTTCCTCTAATTAATCCCCTTTTAATGTGCACGAATTTCGTGCACTGGGCACGAAATATTAAAGAAAAAGAATCAAACATCTGATTCTATGGGTGTTTCCCCTCTATCCCAAGTCTTGGCACACACGTTTGTGCACATGTGTGTGTGTGTGCAAAGACTGCAGGCCAACGCTCTAACCACTGACCCAAAACATAGGGCTGCCTTCTGTTTCCAAAGGGACCTAACCTCATTTGTGACCCAAAGGAAGTAACTGCAGCCACCAGGGGGCGATGATGAACAGGGTCCCCTCACGCAGGGGGCTGTGGCCTGGAGATGACACTCCGGCCCCTCAGCCACAGAGCACCAGCAGAGACACCCTTTTGTAGGGACGGAGGCAATGAGAGCACACACATTGCTCCCAACTGGAGGCTTTTCCCCCTCTTCCCAGATGAAGAAGCTGAGGCACAGCCCACCCTCCTTCTCTCTTTGGAAGACAGGGTGGGAGGAGCAGAGACCACAGGCCAAACCCCACTTCCTGCTTCCCGAGCTCCCTCTGGCCCGGCGTGGTCCCTGGGATCTGCACAGCCTCAAGGTCAGGCACTCCGGGTCCTCCCGTGTCCATCCGGACCCAGGACTTGGCACTGAGCTCAGATCTGCTCCCCACCAAAGTGTGCTGGTGACCATGCCTGGCCTGGCCCCATCAGCCTGCTCCTTGCCCACCTGCTGGCACTGCCAGGTGCTCCCTCTGCGCCAGGATTTTGAAACAGTGTGCGACCTTCTCTCAGCCACCCAGATGAGGACACTGAGGCCCAGGCAGGTCGTTCTAAATTTAGGCTCACAGCTGCATGAGCTAGGGGATGGGAGCTTTCTCCTGCACACTGACTGTTGGGTCCTTACTGCCTGACACACAATAAGTACTCAGTTGATATCCATAGACTGACTAATTGCTTCCTCAAGGAACTCACAACTCTGTGTCTCTCTGCTGAGATGTCCATCCCCATCTTGTAAACTCCTACTCATACCTCAAAGCCCTATTTAGAATATCCCCCTCCTTAGGAAGTCTTCCTGACACGGGATATTCTAGTCTGTGTTCCTCTCATCCTCATTCCTTCCACCAGCCCAGCTCTGAGCCTATGGAACTGGAGGTGTCCGTGGGGCTGGGGTGTCCATGTTTGGCTTTTTCTGCCCTAGGATCACTCAACACAGTGGGAGCAAGTGGCTGGGTGGGTGATGGGGAGCATTAGGGGTGTTAGATCTCCCCCCACGCATCCGTCTTCTCTTCCTCTCCTCCCTGGCGATGGAAAGGAAACTCCCAGGAGCGGGTAAATTATTTCATTAGAAAATAAAGTGTTTATTCAAAAGAACACTAAAAGTCCGAGGACCTGTGTGGGAGCTGGTATGAGCGGACGTGACTCTCGGGCTCCGCCAGGCTGGGCGTGGGGCTCCTCTCCCCGGAGTCGGGGCCTCGGAGGAGGCCGGGTTGGGGTCCCAGGATCCGGCAGGCAGGCGGGGAGCAGTCACCAAGCACCAGGACTCCGCAGAGCTGGGGCCCATGGGCCGCTCAGCCGCTCACCAGGTACATCCCTGTGGGGGTGGGACCGTGAATGGTAGGAGGGTCACTTGTCCCTACCCAGGGATCCCCCAATCCTTCTCAAAATACCCCTTAACTCACTGCCCCACGGACCCCAGCCGCCCCCAGTGGGGGCAGGAGAACAGGGCGAGGGTGCCGGTGCAGTGGTGTTTCTGGCTGCGAGCCTTGGATCCTTGCAAGACCCGCCCCCCCCCCCCCTTCCAGGGGAAGGCCCAGGCACATTCCTCTTCCTTCTTGACCCCTCCCACTGGGCCCTGGCCACCCCCCCCTGTCGGTGACCGCCCCACACTGGGTCTCCAGACCTGACACCCACCCCCTTCCCAAATAACCTACAATGCCCATCCACCCCTGCATCCCGGCCACAGCGAGGCCTGGCTCCCAGGAAGGCGGGGCGGTGGGGGCGGTACGTACCCGTGGCGAACCTTCTCTTCACCAGCGACAGGCGGTAGCCACTGCCCACCAGCTCCAGGTCCACGCCGGACAGAGTGGCCCCTTCGCTGGTGAACTGAGCGGCCACGGGGCTGGGCGTGCTGGGCCCTGAGCACGGCTCCCAGCTGGCAGACAGGCGGCCAGAGCCTGGGGAAGCCTGAGGTCAGCTGGGTCCCAGCCCTGGCCCCCGGCCCCCCCGGGACCCAGACTCTGCCTTGGCCCTGCTTTGATTTGTGGCCTCTACCCTCCGACCTCCTCTTGGGCCCCTGCACCCACTTAAAACAATAAATGTATTTTATTGATTTTTTTTTTTTTTTTTACAGAGAGGAAGGGAGAGGGAGAGTTAGAGGCATCAATGAGGTTAGCTGCCTCCTGCACACTCCCTACTGGGGATGTGCCTGCAATCAAGGTACATGCCCTTGACCAGAATTGAACCTGGGACTCTTTAGTCTGCAGGCCAACACTCTACCCACTGAGCCAAACCTGTTAGGGCTGCACCCACTTTCTCTGGCTCTACAAGACTGTGTGTTGTTTGTAAAGCGATCCTGCCTCAGAGCCTTTTGCACCTGCCGTGCCCACTCCCAGGATGCCTCTCCTTCAGCTCTGTCAAAGCCCTCCCAGCCTGGCCTACCCCAAGCACATCCCCGATTCTCCCCAGTTTAGATAAGTCCTCCCACCTGAGACCCCCGAGTCCTGATGCACAACCACTACTCACCCCCTGCTTCGGACACATCTGGAAGCTTCCATAGGAACCGCTTCTCCTCCAAGTTCCTAGAGTCAAGAGAAGCTCGGTCAGGTCAGCCCCAGAGAAAACACTTAGAACCCAGGATCCCAGCTCAGCTTCCTCTCAGCGATGTGACGGGAGCGAGCCAGGTCCCCTCCCCTGCCTCCACTTCCCCATCTGTGAGGCAGGGGTGGGGTGCGGAGCAGCTGGTCCCGAGGGCCCCACAGCCTTGCAGCATTTTTAGAGGATGCATTTGGTCCCGTAAGTCTGGCTTCTTCGTGACAGGTTCTATACTTTATACAACACCAAGGCAGCATGGGAGCTGTATTTAAATCCCGGTGTGATCTTAGCTAAGCAGTTTAGCCTCCCTTTGCCTCAGATTCCACGTCCATAAATAGGGATGATGGCAGGCTACACCCGGAGGCATTGCTAAGAGCCTTAAGCCAATCTTCCGTGGTGCTGCAGCCACGGAACACGCCTGACATGGAGGAAGCTCTCCTGTCAGGTATCATCCCTGTTTGATAACAGCACCCCCGCTGTAGGCGGTTCGAGCTCACAACTCTGGAACTCACATGGGACACACAACCCTGTGTCTCTCTGCCTGGGGTGTCCACCCCCATCTTGCAAACTCCTACTCATACCTCAAAGCCCTATTTAGAATACCCCCTCCTTACGAAGTCTTCCTGACACACACACACACCCCTTCCGCTCTGTGTTCCTCTCGTCCTCATTCCTTCCACCAGCCCAGCTCTGAGTTTCCCCACCCATAAATAGGGATGATGAAGCAACTAGAGGGTTCACCCTGGACCTGACCGGTCAGCGTACTGACTGGTCAGCGTACAGTCAGGTGGGTCCTTTAGTTGCTTCCTCAAGGGGAAAGTTGGAGGCACTGCTGAGCCTCCCTCGGCCTTCCACACGCCCTCACCAGGTGGCCGCTGGCTGCAGGCACACGTTGGTCACAGGCTCCCCCACAGGCAGCAGGATCTGGACGTTGGTGAGCGGCGTGGGCACAGCCGTGGCGCCGGGCCGGTAGCTGTACTCCACCGAGACCTGAGTGAGGGTCGCCTCACACCGCCAGTGGGCGCTCAGCTGCAGAGGCACCGACTGGGGGCCCGGGCGGGAGAACTAGGAAGAGAGAGGACGGAGCGTGGGCCATCCTGTCCCACCAACCTGGGCACTACCACCAGTTTCGGTCCGGATTGCACACGCCACCCCCAGAGAGAGAGACCCTTTCCTGGAGACTTCGCAGATAGGAGTCTGCATTGCACCACACGTCCAGCAGAGGGCGGGAGAGGGCCTCATTCTAATAAAGTCTGGAGCAGGGGCCTGGGGAGGGCACTTCTAATTCGCAGAATGATACCGAATGCGCTGTGGGGGCCTGGCTCCCTACAGTGCCCATCTGGCCACCATGTACCCTCTGCCCTCCCTATGCTCCCACCATCCCTCCCCTGCTCCCTCGGCCCTCCCCATCTCCTCCGTCCCCCCGTCCCCGCCCTCCCCTCTGCCCGCCCCGCCCCGTCCACCCAGCCCACCTGGTACCGCAGCAGCACCAGGTTGTAGTAGGAGGCGGCTGGGTTCTGCTCCGCCTGGCGCTGCAGGGCCTCGGTCAGGGCCGTCATGTTGAGCCAGAAGTCTTTGGTCTCAGGGTCGCTCTGGGAGGGGTCACTGCAGAGACCGGGGACAATCACCCCCACCCTCGGAGGAAGCCTTCTCGCCACCCCAGGAGCCTCCTAAGGGTGCTGATCTCCCAGGTCACCTTGGCCTGGCAAAGTGGGGTGTGGGGTGGGGGTGGGGAGGAGGCAGGAAAATGAGGTCCAGAGAGGTGGGGGGGGGGGACACACAGCAGATCCTGGGGGCAGAGGCGGGGTTTGCGGCGGGGGCGCTCCTGGCCCCCACCAGCCTCCGGGCCCGGTTCCTGCCCCCTCCTGGCAGCCGCACCTGAAGAGCAGGTCGGCGTTGGGCTGGAAGTGCTCGATGGGGGCTGTGTGCACCAGGCGGAAGCTGAGCACCGGCGGGGGCGGGGTCCCGCTGAACACGCGCACAACGCCCGCCGGGAAGGTCATGGTCAGCTCCCCCGTCACTCGCGCCAGGCAGCTGGGTGAGAGGTGAAGGGACCGGGCGTCGGCTCCCGGCTCTGCCGGCCCCTCCTCTTCCCCTCTCTCCGGGGCGGGCTCCCTGGGCCTGCAGAGGCAGCCAGGCCCCGAGCACACCCAGAACCTTACCCCCACCTCCTCCCGTGTGTCCCTGTCTGCACAGCGGCAACCCAGGCTCCAGGAAGCAGGCACATGGGGCTGAGGAGGCGGGAACCCTCTCCCTCATTCCCTTTTCCCCCAGGCCACCAGGAAGCTCACAGCAGAAACCCCGTTTTATAATTGTCTGCATGTGGGTTTTGGGTCTAATGCTGTCTTCCTCTCTGGTTCTTTTCTTCTGGGCACTCCCCCCTGCACCCCCGCTTTCCGATGATCCCTGGTCCCTCAATTCACCCTTTACCCACCTCCTCCACGGGCCTGGCCCCGGGGGATCCTCCCTCAGGCTGGGGCCCACAGCAGCTCAGAGGAGATCCCCTGCACAGCAGCAGCAATACTGCCTCGCCCTGATCCAACCCCCTCCGTCGCTCCCACTGCCCTTAAGGAGGGGCCTGCGTCTCAGCTCCGTGGGTAAGGCCCTTCCGTGGTAAAGCGGATCCCGAAACACACCTGGCGCTCTATCCACTGAGCCACACGGGCTAGAACCCAGACACACGGCCCCGGGGGCCCCGTCTGCCCCTCACTGTCCACGCGCTCCCCGGCACGGCATACCTGGGGCTGTGGCCGCGGAAGTAGGCATGGACATACTCGGTGAAGACGGTGGCCACGGGCAGGGCATCCTGGGAGCCCAGGACCACAGGGCTGGGGCCCCGGGAGATTCCTGGGGGTGGGGGGAGGGAGAATGAAGGGCAGACAGAGCGTGAGGACAGACAGGTTCAGGCTCCAGAACCTGCCTCTGCCAACAGGGTCTCTGCAGGATCACAGCCCCCGACCCCTCCTCCAGGCCGGAGCAGGGGAAGCCCGAAGCCCGTGGTACCTACCGTGTCCCGTCTGGGTCTGGGCGGAGACGCTGGAGCGCTCTGGGGCGGCGCCGGGGACCGAGGCGCCGGGGACGGAGGCGCCCAGCGGGGAGGAGCTCAGGGGATGGGACTGGAAGGGAAGGAGACAGGCTGGGCTGTGGGCGCGCCTGGAGCATGTCCCCATGCAGCCGCAGCCCCAGCCCGGCGCTGGCCAAGCCCCCTCGGCCTACCAGGTCCCCGTTGCTGCTCACGAGGGGGCAGGACACCTTCCGGGAGCGGGGCCGCCGGGGCGGGGCCGCCAGGCCCTCCGTGGCCGCGAGGTCCGCAGGTCCGGGCGCTGGGTCTGGGGAGCAAGTGGGAGAAGGACGTGGCTGAGAGGCTGCCCGGGCCTCCCCGGCCACCCCAGGGGAGGAGCTCGGTCAAACGCGGGGAGCCAGACTGATGGTGGGGAGCCCCCGGGATGGCCGGAAGCCCCGGGGCTTCGGAGAAGGTGCCGGATAGGACTGCAGGCGGCGCCGTGCACAGCCCTGACCCCAAATGGTGGCCTAATGAGAGAGGCGCTCCCTGCCACGGCCCGGGCGCTCGGGAGGCAGGTACGCTCCCGGGGGATTTGGAAGAGGGCTTTCCTCTAACTTCCAGCAATTCCATGGCTGTCACCCTCTGAGAGGACAGCAGGGGCCTCCTCTCCTAGCCCACGTCGGAGCCTCACCTTCCAAGGGAACTAGTCATGGTGTCCCACCCAGGGTCCCCTTGCTCTCCTGCCTCCCAGCAGCCCCTGCTCGGCTCCAGCTGCAAACGCTTGCCCACCTCCCGCCCTCCCATCCGCCCCGGCCTGTGCCTCTCCCTCCAGGCTCCTCAGCAGCTCGCGGACACCACGGGCGGTTTCTGAGGTCGAGCATCCTCTGAGCTGCAGGTGCTGGACAGCACCCCTGCCCCCGTCCCCCAGCGGTGACAGTCACCAGCAGTGGTGACGGTGCTGAGTGTGCCCTGGGCCGCACTGCTGGCCGAGAATCCCTGTTCCACAGTGACGCTCGCTCGGACAACTCAGCACGTCTGCACTCACTCCCCAGGCCTCCCTTGATGCAGCTGCAATCAGGATCTTTCTCTGACCGTGGCCTCTGCCTGGCACCCCGTAACCACTGCTGGGGACCTCACGTGGTCACAGCCGTTTCTCTAAACGCCAAGGGGACCCCACTCTCGCGTGTGACCTGCAGGCACCCACTCCTCCTGCTCTCCTCCTCCGCCCCCCGCCCCCCGCCCCGCCTCCGCTCAGCCTCGGACCCTCCCCGTTCCTCTCCCGCCCCGGGCGCCTCCCCGTGCCTGGGCCCATCTCCTTGCTGACATCTTCCCTCTCCCCGCCTCCCTGCCATCGCTCTGTTCTGGCCACACCAGCCTCCCCACTGGTCCTCAAGGGGCCTAGCCCGCTCCCACCCCTATAACCCTCTGCTGGGAACCCCTTCCCCTCACCCCCATGGCTTCACCTCGCCTCCATCATGTCACAGCTCAGCTGTCCCTCCTGAGAGAGGCCCCTGCCCCTGGGAGCCCTCACTGGCCACCTCCTGCCTTGTTAACCCATCTCCTTGCTGCCCTTGCCAGGGTGAGGTCTCCGCCAGCCTCCCCCTCAGCTCTGCCCCCAGCACAGATGGCAGGTGCTCCCTTCTCCCACAGCTGCCATCACGGCTCCCGCTGCGGGACTCACCGCCTCCAGCCACGGCCTCCAGCCCCCAGGGGCCCGGGGACGCCGCCAGGGGCAGCGGCGAGTCGGAGGGCAGCAGGGACAGTGCTCCCCTGGACTCAGGGGGCTGCGGCCGGCAGGCGGGCGGGCTCTGCGGGGTGCCCGGGCGGAGGACCCAGGAATCGGGGAAGGGGCCAGGTGCTGCGTGGGACGGCGAGTCCAGGCCGGAGTCTTCCACGTTCTCCGGGGACGAGGAGGAGAAAGGCGAGGGGCTGGAGGTGAAGCCGAGACTGCTGGAGCCTGGGGAGACACGGGGCGACCAGCTCCAGGCCCTGCCCACGCCCAGGTGCCCCCACCCCACCCAGGCCATGCCGAGGGTCACTTCCCTCTCCACTGACGCCTCACCCTCCTCCCACCGTCACCCACCTCCCCCAAGAGGCTTCCCTCCTCTCTGCTCTCCCTACCATGCTGTGGGCCCGCCCCCTCACACTGGCCCCGCCCCCAGAACTTCCCCTTGGCCCACAAAGGACCCCAGCACCCGCCTTCCTGCCCAGCGAGCCACCATGCTTGCAATGGCTCCAGCCACCCACCTGCTGGCCCCTCCACGCTCCCGGGAGGGAGCCCTCACCCCCGTTACCTGTAAAATCTTCGTGGTCAAAGGCTGACTCCAGGGGCGGCCCGAAGAGGTTCTTGGGACCCGGCTCCTCAGGTTGCAGCTTCTCTGTGCAGCTGGGGACCGAGAGGGCAAGAGGGGCTGCTCTGCTGTTCCCGCGCCTCCGCTCACCCCAGGGCCTTTGCACGTGCTGCTCAGTGTGGCCTCTGTGCTCCCAGGCCTCCCCGGGGCCACTCCTGCTTCTCCTCAGGGCTTTGCCCAAGGCCGTCCTCCCTGCAACCCCAGAGGCCCTCCCCTGCCAGCCCAGCTGAAGCTGCCACTTCTCTCGTCTGTCGCACCACTGGCCTTGGCTTCGTCAGAACACGCGGAAGCGGTGACTGCGCTCTAACTTGTTTGTTATTCCTGAAACCTGGGCCGCGCAGTGTGACGCTGAGAAGGAGGACCTATCTTGCTCCGATATCCTCAGAACCCAGACTGGCATGAGTACACAGTAGGCGCTCAACACGTTTACCCAATGAGTCACTGAGTGGTCTCTCAAAAAACAGCACAGCCTCAACGCCCTGCCCGGTGAGAGAAGAGGCCACAGAGACACAGGGAGGAAGCCGAGGTGGTGGTGGAGGGGGATGGAGAGACACGATGGGGTGCCCCACCCGCCCACTGTGCTGACGCGATGCCCCACCCCGGAACGCACCTGCTGGCCCTCGGGGCCGATCGGGGCCTCTGCGGCTTCCCAGCAGCATCCCCTGCAAGAGAGGGTCCTCTCCCTCTGAGCCTGCCCGTCCCCCTGCCTGCAGCGCCCTCCTCCGCAGGCCGGGACACCAAGGCCCAGGCTGCCCAGCCAGCGGCCAGAGTGGCGCATCGGCCAGACAGCCATGCTGTCTCAGGTTCTGGCCTCTTTCCCAGAAACCCCTTTTGGGTCTCAGTTAATCCTCATAATGACCCCATTTGACAGAAGGGGAGACTGAGTGCCAGAGTGGGTAAGCAGCCTGCCCCGAGTGACCGGGCAGAGCCGGGATGCGAACCCACCCAACACTTCAGGCCTAGTCTGCGCTCCGGGTTCCCCCCCTGTCTCTCCCCTCCTCCCCCCAACCCAAACCAAAGGCCCCTGAATACCGGCCGGTGTGGCTCAGAGGTCACTGGTTTGATTCCTGGTCAGGGCACATGCCCGGCTTACAGGCTCCATCCCCGGTACGGGGGCATGCAGGAGGCAGCCGATCAATGATTCCCTGTCATCGCTGATGCTTCTCTCTCTCCTCCTCTCTAAACAATCAATGAAAAAAAACAAACTTAAAGAAGAACAGAAACCGGTTTGGCTCAGTGGATAGAGCGTCGGCCTGCAGACTGAAAGGTCCCAGGTTTGATTCCGGTCAAGGGCATGTACCTTGGTTGCGGGCACATCCCCGGTATGAGGTGTGCAGGAGGCAGCTGGTCGATGTCTCTCTCTCATCAATGTTTCTAGCTCTCTATCCCTCTCTCCTCCTCTCTGTAATAAATCAATACAGTATATTTTTAAAAAGAGAAAGCAGGCGACTCACGTGAGGAATGGCGTTTCATGGTGCCCTGTGGACAGAGGAGTGGTGTCAGGCCGGGAGCCCAGCTGGCCCCCAGGCCCCGCCCCGAGCACCGCTCCCACCGGAAGCACCACTTCCGCCGGGAGCACTGTTCCCGCCCGGAGCACCTCTCCCGGGAGCACCTCTCCCGCCCGGAGCGCCTCTCCCACCCGGAGCACCTCCCCCGCCTGGAGCGCCTCTCCCAGGAGCGCCTCTCCCGGGAGCACCTCCCCGCCCGGAGCACCTCCCCGCCCGGAGCACCTCCCCACCCGGAGCGCCTCCCCCGCCCGGAGCGCCTCTCCCAGGAGCACCTCCCAGCCCGGAGCACCTCCCCGCCCGGAACGCCTCTCCCAGGAGCACCTCTCCCGCCCGGAGCACCTCTCCCACCCGGAGCGCCTCCCCCGCCCGGAGCGCCTCCCCCGCCCAGAGCGCCTCTCCCGGGCCTCACCCCCGGGCCGGGCGGGAGGATGAGGCTGCCGGCCGTGGCCCTGAGCTGCGCGGCGGCGGCCTCGGGGCTGCAGGCCGGGGCCCGGGCCGCAGCGGGCTTGATGTGCACATAGAACTTGCGGGGCTCCTCGTCGTCGAAGTCGGAGTCGCTGGAGGAGAAGCGGGCAGGCTCCGCTGTGCGTGGCCTCGGTCAAGGGGCCAAGCAGATCCAGGGCAGGGCGTCCACCCCGCCCTCAACGGACCACAGCCCTTCCCGCTCACGCCCTGCAGCACCCCTCACCCTCCACCCTGGGCCCTGACACCACACTCTACTTCCTGCCCTGACCCCATCCCAGCCTTGGCACAAGCGTGACCTGCCCTAACTAGTGAAATCCTAGTCTATTCAACTGTTAAGCCCAACACTGGTACCCCCTCTTCCAGGAAGCCCTCTCGGATTCTCCTCTATTGTCACCCAGCCCCTCCTGTCTCCCTCTTGACCATCCCTGAGCCCACAGGGCAGGTGTCTTTGCTGGGTCCTCCCTAGAGGATCCCCCACAGGGCGTGTGCCAAGAAGGCTGCTCATGGCAGCCAAGTCACTGTGGGCAGAGCTTTCCCATTGCTATGCCCACAGCTGCCCCCAGAGGGCGCCAGGAGGATATTGTTCTGGGTCACATCAGGCCGGACAGTGAAACCTTCTTCATCCACTTCTGCGCTTGCCTGGAAGACAAGCGGTGAGTCAGACTCTTCCCTTCTAAACCTCCACTTTCTCCCTGCCTCCCTTCGCCCTCCCCCCCCCCGCCCCCAAACCTAAAAACACCCCTGCTGGCACTCACCCGTGGGTCAGGCTCCAGAGAATCTCTGCGGGTAAGAAAAGAGACATTGGTATCAGCCCCCCCGCCCCCTCCATCTGCCCTACCCTTGGCCCTCAGCACTGGAAAAGGCAGCCGAGGGGGTGGGCCCAGATTGCTATAACATCCTGAGCTGGTCCTGCAGGTGTGGGGGTCCCGGGGCTTGCCTGGGATGAGGGACAGTGAATCTGGGGGTGGCAAAGCGAGGGGTGTCTGCCAACAGCTGGAAGGGGAGGGACCCTGGAGCTAGGGCTTGCGGGAAACATGGAGCGCAGGGGCTGGTCTTGGAAAAGAAAGGATCCTGGCCAGCCGGGCAGGGCAGACCAGGGCTCGTCAGGGGAGCCATGGCCCAGAGAAGGGAGGGGTGGGTGCCCGTGTGGGCAGGCGACTCCCAGCTCACCTTGGCAGAGGAGGAACGGCTGGGAGAGGCCAGGTGAGGAAACAGCAGGACTAACCTAGGCGGAGAGGGGAATCCTGGGCCTCCCTGGGCAGGGCTCATTCTGGGAGCGTCAGGGCAGGCAGCCCTGGTCCAGCCTTGGCAGAAGGAAGCCTTCTGGACCGGGCAGGCCAGGTGACACTGAGCCAGCCTGGCCAGAGGTACTCGGTGCCTAGCCTGGGGTAAGAAGGCTCCTGGGCTGCCCTAAGCAGGGGGCTTCTGGGACAGCCTGGCAGGAGGAGGTGTCCGGGCCGGGGGTGGGGGTGGGAGTGGGGGGTGGGGGGTGCTTCCTCACACGGCTGCAGGCGGCTCCCGCTCCCGCCGGCTCAGTCCCGGGAGGCGAAAGGCCTTGGCTCCCCGCAGGCGTTTCATGGCTGAGGACGGAGAGGGTGCCGCTGAGCCCCGGGGGTGCCCCCTTCCCGTTCAGCTCGGCCCCCCTCTTCCCCGCGGTCCAGCCTGGGCGTCCAGGCCCAGACGTACTTGCCTTCCTGCAGGGCAGCTGCGCTGTACGCCTCGAAGTCCAGAGGCCCTGAGACAGAGGGAGGGAGGCCCTCAGCAGGGAGGGGGCCCGGGACACCCCTGGCCACACGCGCACCCGTCCCGGAGCCGGTCACGGGTGGGACGGGCCGAGGGCTCTGGTCCCACCGTGGGACGGGCTGGCGGGGCCGGGGGGTGACGCCTGAGTCGTTTCTGCTCTCAGCTTTTCTGGGTGGGACGTGGGAGGGTCAGGGATGGACCGCAAGTCCATGCAATGGGCTGGGCGGCCAGTGCCAGGCTGGGACGCCCCTAAGGGAGATGGGGAGCCAGGGAGGGTGTGTGAGCAGGAGCAGCCAGTGAAGGGCCAGAGTGAGGGGTGGGCTGAGCTGGGGAGCTCGGAGGGAGAAAGGACGGTCCTTAGTGCTTGCCTAGACTCAGGGACAGACTGTGCACCAGCCTTTATCGAATTCCTCCCGTGTGCCTGGCTTATCCTTCACCTGCCACCTGCATCAAACCACTGAGCATTCACACACCATCGGCCGGGGACCAGTATCATCCTCACTTTACAGATGAGGAAACTGAGGCTTAGAGACTCCAAGGCCCATATCCAGGTTCTCACAGCCAGCAGGAAAGAAAAGACTCGAACCCAGGCCCGACCCCAAACTCGTGCTCTCCACATTCCCCCGGCCCTGCCTCAGATTGGACTTTTGCTCACAAAGGCTCCCGTGGGGTCAAGTTTGAACATCGGGAGTCTGGCCTGCATGGCCCCTCGGGTACCTGGCTGTGTTAGACTGACACCTGAGATCAGGCCCCCAAGCCTCGTCCTCTGTGGGCTGCAGAGTGAGACCTGTCGCCAGCCCACGTTCCTGACGAGGAAACGCAGAGCCAGGGAAGCCTCCTGCGGCCTGAACCCCATTCTTTCCCTGCAGCCGCCCCTCCTCTCCCCCCCCCCCCCCCCCCCCGGCCCCAACTCACCGGGCTTCTCCCGGCCTGTGCCCTTGCTCTCCGCGAACTTCCTCAGCAGCATCTCCACGCTGATGTTCTCGATGTTTTGCTTAAACTCCTCGTGCACCTGGGCAGAGCGGGCGGGGTGTGTGACGGGGCAAGGCCAGGACCTCTCGTTGGGCACCTCCCCCTCCTCCCTGCCCCCCGTGGCCCCGCTCACCTGCCCGATCTGCACGTGTGTGTCCTCCACCGAGTGGGCGTAGGCGCCCAGCAGGGCCTTCATGTGCCGCAGGTGGGTCTCCTCCAGGGTTTGGAAGTGCTGGGGGCGGGGACGGGGTGGGGGGGCACCAGGATTGCCGTGAGGCTCAGCCTGGTCAGTCAGGTGTTTCACCCCCCCGGGCTCAGGGACTGGTTTGGGGCAGAGCCAGGGAGCGCCTGCCCTAGGTCTTTGGCTGGAACTACAGGAAAAGGGCATTTTCACATCCTGAGTCAATGAATTGGTGTGATGCACGTGGAAGCTGCTGGTGGCCCCTTTGCTGGACACACACACACACACACACACACGCACACCACACATACAGTACACACACAACACACACATCCACACACAACACACACACACACACACACACCAACACACATATCCACACACAACACACACACATATACACACACATCTACACACCACACACACACACACACATACACATCATACACACACACACACACACACACACGGGCGTGTTTGCTTGAGAATGAAACCCCAGAGAGAAAAACAGGCTTGAAAAGGGGAGAGGCACAACTTCCTGCCAACACCCTTCGAGCACTCGGATCCAGCCAGGCCTGGAGCCCTCCCCTCCAGCTTTTCTTTCCTGTGAGCCTATAAACTGTCTTTGAATGAAGGTCTCTATCCTTTGAAATTCTCTGTCACTTGCAAAATTGAGGGGCGGGGGGGGGGGGGGAGGCGGGAATCTGATTCCTAATCCTGAGATTCCAATCTGCTTCTCACACATTTGGGTGGACAGAGACGCAGAGAGGTGCAGTAGCTTGTAAAAAGTGATGTATCTGGTGAGAAATGGAGGCTGGACTAGAAGCTGGGCCTTTCAGACACTATGAAATGTCAGGAGACTTTTAGAGTCTAAATCCTGCCCTATCTTGTTTAAAAACAACAACAACAGCAACAACAACACACACACACACAAAACCTTATCCTATATAATAAAAGGGTAATATGCAAATTGACCCTGAGGAATGACGGGGTGCTATGCAGTGCGCTGACCACCAGAGGGCAGACCCTCAATGCAGGAGCGGCTCCTGTTGGTCAGTGCGCTCCCACAGGGGAGCTCGGCTCAGCCACAGGCCAGGCTGGCGTGAGGGCAGCGGGGGTGGAGGGAGCCCTCCCGCCCCCTCGGCTAAGGATGTCCCACTGCAGCTTAGGCCCGCCGTGCACTCCCCTCTGCCGGCTGAACGCACACTATTCCTGAGATTACCATTTGCCTCCAATCTGTGAGGACATTGGACCAACCCGGACATCTGGCCGACCTCGCTTGTTTGAGGGTTATAAACGCGGCCTCCAGGCAGGTGGCACCTGGCTAGTGAGCCGGACAGGGACAGGTCGCATCATGACCACCCAGGTGGTGGGGACGCAGGGCCAGGCCTAAGCTGTCAGGTGGACATCCCCCGAGGGGTCCCGGACTGCGAGAGGGCAGAGGCCAGGTTGAGGGACCCCTCCAGGGTGTGAATTTTCATGCACTGGGCCTCTAGTCTACAATAATATAAACAAAACTGACACCTCATAGAGTGGTTTCTATGCACCTGGTACTGGTCTGGAAACTGCACATCCATTGACTCATTTAATCTTCACAACAGCTCTATGCAGCAGGTACTATTCCTGTTCCCGTTTCACAGGTAGGGAAACCAAGGCACAAAAATGATTTGGGCCCAAGCCCAAATTTGGCTCAGTGGATAGATCATCAGCCCTTGGACTGAAGGGTCCTGAGTTCTTGTCAAGGGCACACACTTCGGTTGCAGGCTCCATCCCCGGCCCTTGTCAGGGCACAAATAAAAATCAACATCGATGGGGGTGACCATCGATGTGTAGCTTTCATATCTATGTCTCTCTCTCTCTCTGCCCCTCCCTTCACTCTCCCTAAAAAATCGATGAAAAATATCCTCGGGTGAGGATTCACAAATAAAATAAAAAAAGTGTTTGACTTTTGAAATGATACTAACGTCAGCAACGATGATAACAGCTACCTGGCTGTTAGAGATGGCCTCTCCCCCTCTCCCTGTACCGGGCGGGGCTCCTGGGAGCTGAGGGTGGGGCTCCTGGGAGCTGAGGGTGCGGAGGTTCTGGTCCGAGGCCCGGGGGGGGGGGGGGGGGGGGGTGTCTCGGAGGTACAGACCTCGGGTTCTTACCAGAGCCGAGTCCAGCATCTTCTGCTCGAAGTCCGCGCGGGCCGAGTTGTACTTCTCCACGGAGCGCCGCAGGCTCTCGGCCGCCTTCTTGGTCTTGGTCTCCGCCTGGGAGGCACAGAGCGGGGGCGGGGCTGGGCGAGGTCCCTCAGGGAGCCCCCCCTCCGCGCCCCCCGCAGGTAGACTTCTCGGGGTGCCCGGGGGTCTGGTGACCACAGCTCCGTGACGTGCTCTCGCTCGCCCGTCAGGCGGGCGGGCGTGGGCCGCTGTGGCTCACCTTGTCCATATCCTTCTGGCTGGTGCTCTCCCGCCGAAGCCGCTCCTGGTCCATGCACCGGCTCAGGTAGTGCTCCCGGGACTTGGGCAGGAGCTGGCTGACGCCTGCGAGGACCTGCACGGCGTCCAGCGTGCCGCCTGCTTCCTCTTTCAGCTGCGAGGGAGGGGACGGGGGAGCATGGGTGCCACCCGAGACCCGTGGGTGCAGGGCCCGAGCAGACCTCAGCTGTAGCCCGTGACGCTCCCAGCTTCCCAAACATGGTGGGGTTCTCTGAGTATTATTTTAATATGAAAAATTTTAACATTTAAAATAGATAATGGCCGAGACCGATTTGGCTCAATGGATAGAGCGTCAGCTTGGGGACTGAGGGGTCCCGGGTTCAATTCCAGTCAAGGGCATGTACGTTGGTTGCGGGCATGTCCCCAGGGAGGGGTGTGCAAGAGGCAGCTGATCGATGACTCTCTCATCGATGTTTCTAACTCTCTATCTCTCTCCCTTCCTCTCTGTACAAAATCAATAAAATATATTTAAAAATAAATAAATAAATAATAAAATAGATAATGTTTACGCATCATTTAAAAGTTTTAAGGGGCCGGGACCGGTTTGGCTCAGTGGATAGAGCGTCGGCCTGCGGACTGAAAGGTCCTGGGTTCGATTCCGGTCAAGGCCATGTACCTTGGTTGTGGGCACATCCCCAGTAGGGGGTGTGCAAGAGGCAGCTGATGGATGATTCTCTCTCATCGATGTTTCTAACTCTCTATCCCTCTCTCTTCCTCTCTGAAAAATCAAGAAAATATATTTAAAAAGAAAAATAAAAGTTTTAAGGGGTGTACTCTCTAAAACCTCCCATACCCAGTTCTGGCTGATTAGCTCAGTTGGTGAGAGCATCATCTTGATACAGCAAGGTTGTGGGTTTCACCCCAGGTCAGGGCACATATAAGAACTAATGAATATATAAATCAGTGGATCTCTCTCTCTCTCTCTTTCTTCTTCTTCTTCTCCCTCTCTCCTTTCTACTCTGTCTCTAAAAAATCAATAATATCCTGACTCGTGTGGCTCAGTGGTTGAGCATTGACCTATGAACCAGGAGGTCAGGATGCAATTCCGGGTCAGGGCACACACCCGGGTTACAGGCTCCATCCCCAAAGTGGGGCCTCCAGGAGGCAGCGGGAGAGATCTATCATTCTCTCTCATCACTGATGCTCCTGTGTCTCAAACTCCCTCTTCCTTCCTCTCTGAAATCATTACAAATAAAATATATATTTAAAAAAATAAAAATCAACAATAAAACAAAAGACCTTCCATTTCCTGATGGCCAGCCTCCCAGGCCTCTGCCAGGGGCTCCCCGTTATTGCCACCATAGGTCTCCAGAATTCATCAGCACGTGGACAGGTAAGTATGCTTGTTTCCACCCATTTTTAAAAATATATATTTTATTGATTTTTTTAAAGAGTGAAAGGGAGAGGGATAGAGAGCTAGAAACATCAATGAGAGAGAATCATCGATCAGCTGCCTCCTGCACAACTCCCACTGGGGATGTGCCTGCAACCAATGTACATTTGACCGGAATCGAACCCGGGATTTTTCAGTCCACAGACGACGCTCTATCCACTGAGCCAAACCGGTTTTGGCTCCACCGATTTTTTAATGACAGATTGCAGCAGTCTGTGCTGTGTATCCCACTGATGGTTCCACATCATAGTCCATTCCCAAATGTCCCACACACAGCCCATAGGGAACTTCCTCGTCCCCATTGTAAGAAATTGTGCTAAAATACACATAACGTAAAATTCACTGTATTAACCATTTATAAGTACACAGCATTGAGTACCATTGCCACCTCCCCTTTTAGCAGATGTGGGCCGGTCAATGCCGAGCACCTAGGGATTATCAGATGCTACTATTTTGGGATCCTGAGAGTCTAAGGCTTGACGCTTCCAAGATTCTAGGTTTGAAAGCGTCCAGACACGTCGGATAATAACCTCTGTGGGTTCTGGCCGCCTGGATGAGAGGTTAGCAATCTCTGAGTGAAGGGACAGGCAGTTCAGGGGTTTGCCTGTCATGGACTCTCAACTCAAAAAAAGTCACAGACTGTTGTACACACGCGGGCCTGGGTGTGTTCTGGCACTGACACTCAGTGTCATTTCATGTTCACGTTTCAAAGTATCCTTCCTCTCCGGCTCCCCACCACCATTTAAGGATGTGATAGCCATTCTGAGCTCGTGGGCGGGACAGAACCGGGGGCGGCTGGACCGGGCCCCCAGGCTGCAGACTTTGCTTGAGGATTTTGAGTCTGAAATGTCTCACAGTTCCCTGGCCTGCAGGGTTCTGGGTTTGAAATTTCAGAATTACCAGAATCCTCTGAGGCACACTTGGAGGCTGGAGGCTTGTAGACCTCAGAAGGCCTGGGCTCCTTTCAGCCGTGCCCCTCCCTGCCCAGCCCAACCCCCCGGGCAGTGCCCCCGGGCATACACCTTCTTGTGCATCTTGAGCTGCTCCTCGCTGTAGCGGAGCACGTCCTTGATGAGGTCCTGCAGCTTCCGGGTCAGCTCCAGGTGGCAGAGCGCCAGCTTGTCCGAGGAGACGCGGAATACTTCCCAGAGCGGGGCGAAGGTCCTGGGGACGGGCAGGATCGATCACGCGCAGGGCCCAGCAGGCCCAGCACCCCTGGGTCCCCTCAGACCTATTGTGTGCCAGGCCCTGCTAAGCATCAACACATATGGACTCATTTAATCCCCACTGCAACCCTATAAGGCAGGCTCGTGACAGATGGGAAACTGAGGCATGGGAGGCTCCGTGACTCAGACAAGGCCCCACAGCGAATGACCATCAGAGCTGGAATTAAAATTCAGGTCCTCTTGGGCAGTGGCAGCCAGGCATGAGGCGGAGGCGGCCAAGCCCAGGGTGGCCAGTCCAGGAACACCCAGACCCGGAGTGGCCGGGCCCGGAGAAGCCGGGCCCAGAGCAGCCGGGGTGGGAGCAGCCAGACCCAGAACAGCAGTAGCCAAGCCCAGAGCATCCAGGTCGGGAGTGGCCAGGCTCGGAGCGGCCGGGCCCAGGGCAGGCGGGGCTGGTGCGGCCAGGCCCGGAGCAGCGGCTGCCAGGCTGGGAGCGGCCAGGCCCGGGGGAGCAGGCGGGGCTGGTGCGGCCAGGCCCGGAGCAGCGGCTGCCAGGCTGGGAGCGGCCTGGCCTGGGGGAGCAGCCGGGCTGGTGCGGCCAGGCCCGGAGCAGCGGCTGCCAGGCTGGGAGCGGCCAGGCCCGGGGGAGCAGCCAGGTCGGGGGCGGCCAGGCCCGGAGCAGCGGCTGCCAGGCTGGGAGCGGCCAGGCCCGGAGCAGCAGCAGCCAAGTCCAGAGCAACTAGGTCGGGAGCGGCAGTGACCAGACCCGGAGCAGCTGGTTGTGGAATGAACCAGAGCAACAGAGGCCAGGCCCTAAGCAGCCAGAACAGCTCGCTCCTTGCCTGCCCCTGCCCCACGGCTGCTTCTCAGACATGGCTGGAAACTTTCGTGGGAACTTGAGGGTCTGCTGAATCAAGTGATGAAGGCTTAGATCTGGATGTGTTGAGTTAGTTTAGGGCTGGGGTGTTGATCTGTGAGTGCCTTGGGTGGGGCCTGGATGAGGCTGGTGAACCTATTGGGAAATGTCTTTTGTGTGAAGTGTATCATTGGGCATGTGGAGGTATTATTGATTTGAGAAAATGCTAAGTAACTGATTTACTATCTGAAAAGGGATTTACTATTGGGGAAAGGGAGGGAAGAAGAGACTGAACATAAACTGTGCACCTATGGATGAGGACAATGGGGGATGGGGAGGGGGCAGAGGGTGGGGTGGGAACCTGGTGGAGGGGGGAAGAAATGAGGAACCTTTGTAATAATATGAACAATAAAGATTGATTAAAAAAAAAAAAAAAAAGAAAGAAAAGAAAGAAAGAAAGAAATTCAGGTCCTGAGGCCCAGAGTCCCCGCCCGATATCCGAAGGCAGCTAAGACCCAACCGGCCCCAACCAAGTTCACGGGGCCTCCCTACCTCACAGAACCCCGCCCCCCCCTCCAATCCAGCTCCCCCTGCCTTCCCTCCCTCCGCCTCCATGTCTGCCCCTGGCAGAACTTTTGCCCCACAGCAGCCACAGGGAACTTTGCAAACCACCTCGCATCCTTGTTTAAAAGCCACCTGTGTGTCTAACCCGCCATCTCCTCCCCCCGCTCCCCCAGGCCCTGCAGCACACCCGCCTCCTGGCTCCTCCTCAGACAGACAGAGCGTGGCTGCGTCAGCGCCTCTACCCTGGTCGAGCTGCTGGCCGGCTGGGTCTCTGTCCCCCCCGACCCTCCCAGGGCTGACTCCTCCCCATGACGAAGGTCTCAGCTCACAGAACCGGAGGCCACCCCGGAGGAGGTGCCCAGCCTCTCCCACGCTTATGTCACTGCTCCCAGCCCTCTCAGCGCCGGGAAGGACCTGCTCGTGTCTGTAGCTAACATGTGACTCTTCACACATCCTGGATGTACCTGGCATGAATTTAGCCTGAAGGTAATTGAGGGTTTTATCCATCTCGGTGGCCGCTGGGTGGCTAGAGCCTGGAACAGCGCCTGGCACACAGCAGGTGCGCAGTAAGTGTGTGTTAAATGAGTGAATGAGATACTGAGTGAATGGATGGCACTCCTTCCTCTGTCCGATGAGCCTATCGGTGGGGGAGGACTCCCTGTCCCACACAGCACACCTGTGAGAAGATGTGCGCCCACGGGGAGGCTCCGGACGACCCCAGGGCCCCACAACCTTGGGGACCCCTCTCCCACCACGGCCCACTCACCCCACGGGGGTCCCGTTGCTGGCCAGCTTGGAAAGTTTTGCCATCGCTTTCGAGTATGTCTCCTCGATCGTGGCCCTGGATGGGAGGACAGGAAAAAGCTGGGGAGGTTCTGGGCACCCCGGGAGATACCCCGTCCCCCTGAGACTCAGTTTTCCCACCCCAAACATCTGAGCGGTGGCTCTTAGTGAGGACAGAAGAGGAAATTCATGGGAGAGGTTTTTTCCCTTAAATAATACATTTTACAGCAATAGTAGTAGTGGCAGTAGCAACAGTAGCAGCAGCAGGTCAAAAAATCTTTGAGCACATACTGCAAATACTTTATAATATAAATGAGAAAAACCACGTAACGTTTAGATTGTTTTTCTCATTTAACTGCAGCAGGCAAACTCATATCTCTTCCTTTCCTTTGGACAGACACCTCATCTCCACGCCCATTTTCATCTGGACGAACAGAGCCTTCACTTTGTTTGGGGCAGCAACGAGCCCAGTTAAAATCAATTGCCGCCGAGACCAGTTTGGTTCAATGGATAGAGCGTCGGCTTGGGGACTGAAAGGTCCCGGGTTCGATTCCGGTCAAGGGCATGTACCTCGGTTGCGGGCATATCCCCAGGAGGGGGCATGCAAGAGGCAGCTGATCGATGACTCTCTCATCGATGTTTCTAACTCTCTATCTCTCTCCTTTCCTCTCTGTAAAAAAATCAATAAAATATATATTTAAAAAACAAAACAAAAAACAATTGCCTGCTGAAACCGGGTTGGCTCAGCCTGCGGACTGAAAGGTCCCAGGTTCGATTCCGGTCAAGGGCATGTTGCGGGCACATCCCCAGTGGGTGGTGTGCAGGAGGCAGCTGATCGATGATTCTCTCTCATCGATGTTTCTAACTCTCTATTCCTCTCTCTTCCTCTCTGTAAAAAAAAAATGAATGAAATATATATCTAAAAAACAAAACAAAACAAAACAAAAAACAATTGCCCACGGGGACATCTTCTGGTAGAGGCCCCCGTGGAGCACCACAGGGGGGGAAGACCCACAAAAGGAGTAGCCTCTGTCCTGCATGGCAAGTGGCCAGCCATAACGAGAAATACTCAGTTCCCATCCTTTGAACTCTCTCCCGGATGTCACAGGCGCTCACTACTGAGGGACCAGGGAGCTGCTTTGCAATCTGATTTTACTGGTTTCCGGGATAGTAACAGCTGAACACTGACATGCTGAAGTGTGGACTAGTTTATCACACGCGTTTCCTTTCATCACGCTCAGGGCACAAGACCGGGTTTTCAAATTCCCCTTGAGGTAGTCAGTGGTCGGCAAACTCATTAGTCAACAGAGCCAAATATCAACAGGACAACGACGGACATTTCTTTTGAGAGCCGAAAACCGACTTCTGGGAAGTTTGTTTCAGTCACACCGAACGTGCACGCCTGCACGTGGTATTCTGTGGAAGAGCCACGCTCAAGGGGCCAACGTGCATGTGGCTCGAGAGCCACAGTTTGCTGACCACTGAGGTAGGTCAGATGTCTTCAGGAGGCGTGAGAAGGATGTTCGTGGGGCTGAGGGCATTGAGAAGACTAGTCTCGAGGGTCTTCCAGCACGTGTGGCCCCTGGAGCCCAGGGGCCTGGACCTGAGGGGGCGGGGCGGGGCGGGGCGGGGCACGGGCGGCTGTGAGACCGGATGGGCGGCCACGAGGTAGGCGAGGCTGGGCTGACGTGGGCACTGCCGTGTAGCGGGGGGCGTGGGAAGCTCACCTCTCCCGGATGAATTCCGCCAGCTCCTTGGTGGAGATGGGCCCCTGCTTCATGCTGTGGTACAGAACCTCAAAGCCGTGGTTCTTCTCGCCCTGCAAGAGAGCGGAGGTGGAGACTGAGGAAAGGACGCAGGAAAAAGTCAGTGCTGTCCAGCCACTGGGGCTTCAACAGAGAACCCAACCAGCAGAAGCCCACCCCCTTGGCTCCAGGGATTGGTTCATCCCCCCTAACGCGCCCCCCCCTCCACACACACACACACACACACACACGCGCACACACACACACACACACACACACACACACGCACGCACACACATTGGTGCATGGGCCTTAAGTTGGCCTAAACAGAAGCTGGGGACTTGTGTACATTCACTAGTTGCCTCTCTCTATTTCTACTACAAGCCTGGTGCACAGAATTCATGCACTGGGGGGGGGGGGGGGGCGTCCCTCAGTTCGGCCTGCGCCCTCTTGCGGTCCATGAACCCTCCTGGGATGTCTGCCTGCCAGGGTAGGCCTTCCCCACCCCCAGGGAGCAGGCCTAACCCGGCAGGGCACTGGGGTTTGTTAAATAAGTGAACAAATGAGCAACATGAAAGCAAACCAGCCAATGCCTTGAATTAGCAGAACCTAGAGCAGAACCTCAGTCACCAGGTGCTGGTGGGAACAGAGCTCCTTCCCCCCCCCCCCCCCCCGGTGCCTGCGGGTGCGTTGAACAAAACCCCTTTTGCCCAAGTCCTGGGGTCACCACGGCGGGGACATCCCTCTTGCAGTCTGGGACCTCTCGCTCCTTATCTACTCCCCCTCCCCACCTGCTCGATGCTCCTTACTGCTTGGCTTGCTGCTCCTTAGCACTGCTGCTCAGCTTTTGGCTGAGCAACACTCCCCCTGAGGGAGTGCACTAACCACCAGGGGCAGCTCCTGCATTGAGCATCTGCCCCCGGGTGGTCAGTGCATGTCATAGCTCCTGGTCGTTCTGCCCTTCAGTTGATTTGCATATTAGGCTTTTATTATATAGGATCTTTCTGTGGTTGTTCCTCCCTCTCTCTCCTTTTCTCTCTGAGTCTCTCTGCCTCCACCAGTCTCTTCTTCCCCTGCTTTTCTGTCTGCATTTTTCGGTAAATGAAGAATCATGTGGGCATGGGAAACCCTGGAAGCCAAGTGGAAACTTTGGGGAAAAGCTGAGAGAATCCCATAACGAGCGTATTGAGTCGAGTTGCAGGACCAAACCAGCTCTGAAGGCCGCCCTGCCCCACAGCATTTCATTTTGCGAAGCAACGTGAGCCTGTCCTGTAAGTCACCGTAGCCAGTTTTCTTCCTCTTTATCATGGAAACTGCTTGTCTGAGCCCTCAGGGAGGTCTGGGTCTGACAGCCCTCTCAGCACCCAGCCGCGTTCAGTGAAGGATGGGACACAGAAAGGGCACTGGGGTTTGTTAAATAAGTGAACAAATGAGGAACATGAAAGCAAACATCAGCCAATGCCCCGAATTAGCAGAAGCTAGAGGCACTCCTCTGACGGCCAGGGCTGGGCTGGGTGGCCCGGAAAATCGCTGTCCCTCCGCAGAGGACCCTCAGTAAGAAGGGGGCAGGGAGTCATCACCTCTCATTGAGGACGATAAACACCAAGATGACAGGGTCCCCAGCGCCCAAGCAGCCCCAGGTTTTGCTAATTGGAGGCATTCGTTCATGCTTGATTTAATTTTGCTCATGTTTCTTCTTTAAAAAAAAAAAAAAAAAAAATATATATATATATATATATATATATATATATATATATATATATATATTTTATTATTATTGATTTTTTACAGAGAGGAAGGGAGAGGCATAGAGAGTTAGAAACATCGATGAGAGAGAATCATCCATCAGCTGCCTCCTGCACACCCCCCACTGGGGATGTGCCTGCAACCAAGGTACATGCCCTAGACCGGAATCGAACCCAGGACCTCTCAGTCCACAGGCTGACGCTCTGTCCACTGAGCCAAACCAGTTCCAGCTTGCTCATGTTTCCCCCCCCCACCCAAACACATTTTTATTTAAAAGGGCAACTTCTACCACTATTCTTAATTTTTAAAAAATAAAATATATTTTATTGATTTTTTTTTTTTTTTACAGAGAGGGAGTGGGATAGAGAGCTAGAAACATCGATGAGAGAGAAACATCAACCATCTGCCTCTTGCACACCCCCTACCGGGGATGTGCCCGCAACCAAGGTACATGCTCTTGAGTGGAATCGAACCCGGGACCTTTCAGTCCACAGGCCGACGCTCTATCGACTGAGCCAGACCGGTTTCAGCGTCTTGCCACTATTCTAAGTGGACAACCAGGACCCCATGCCATCAGGAAGGGAACGGGGGAGAGAATAAGGCAGCAGCTATGTTTTTATGCACATGTAGGTGCATCGTGTCTGAACATGGAGCCGTTCGTAAACATGGGAGGTCAGCCGGGGCCCAAGGGAACTGGAGACACGTTAGCACCAAATGGGCCTTTTCATCCCGACGGAGAGAGGAGGCTCCTGGAGGGACCCGACGTGATTCCGCTGCCAACGCCGATCCCCAAGCAACCCCTTCGGCGGCATTTGCCCCTCCCCCTCCTCCAGTTTGTGGGGTTCACCTTCCTCGTTACCTGGACCATCCGAGGATCCCTCTTGGGCACAAATGGAGACACTAAAAGCCAAGCCTGGGACAGACCCCGGACAGGCTCGAGCCCAAATCTCAGTCGCTGCTCATTCTAGACTCAGTGGGGGCCCCCTGGGTCCCCCAGCTGCTGTGTCCAAAGCCCGTGACCTGGACCTGCCTTTCCAGACTCACCTCTCAGCTCCCTCTCGGTCTCGCCCTCAGCTCCACCGCCCGCGACCAGCCTACATATCTTCCCCCCAACCCAATACTTCCCCCTCTCCAGGGTCCCTGCCAGACCTCCCTCCTTCCAGAACCTTCTCAGACCCCCCTCAAACTCTCGCTTCCCTAGGGTTCACGGTGGATCCCTCCAGCTCCCCAGGAATCCGTTTCCTCTCCTTCCACATCTATGGTTATCCTTTCAAGGTTCAAGAGTCCAATCCTCCTTTTAGGCACTGACCCACGTTGGGCCAGTGACTTCCCCTCCCTGGGCCCCAGTTTCCTCATCTGACAAATGGGGACAATGACAGCACCTACCTGCCGAGAGCTTCGGTGACATGAGGCTGGTATGGAGCTGGACACAGGGCTCCCCGCACGGGAGGGGTGCTCAGCAAACAGCCAGACAGCCCCCCCAACCCAGCACTGACCAGGGGATCCTCGGGTGAGGCTGCACCAGGCACCGCTGGCCAGGCCAGCATCTGGGGCTGATGCGGAGCCAACTGCTGGCCCATTTCCCAGGCCTGGCAAAGCCCCCAGCAGTGTCCGCCTCCCTCGGGCTGGGCTGGCAGCCGAGGGTCCGAGGAGGGGCTGTCTCGGAGGGTATTCCTAACACAGCTTACTCGTGTCCCTCTCCTGCTCACACTCCCTCCATGGCTCCCGAGTGCCCTCTCGGCCTCCGGCCCTGCTCTGGCCCAATGGGGCTAGAGCATCCCTGTCTGGATCCATCTCCCCCTGGACTGGCGCCTCCTTCAGGCCAGCCAGGGCCCCAGTGTCATCCAGCAAAGAGCCACCAACACAAACAATTAAATTAAACAAAACAGACATCTCAGAAGCATGTCCTGGGTCCCAGGGAAGGGGGGGATTTTATCCCCCTTCTTAAGTTTGGGAAACTGAAGCTTCAAGAGGCCAAGTCACCTCTCCAAGAACTCCCAGCCGAGCCCCGTTCCAATCACAGACCGAAGTCTCATTCCCTGTGCACTGGACTGTCTTCTGGTGCGGGGGAGGGGACGGAGGTGGCTTCTATTTTCTCTTTGCTGATCTGGATGCTCTCCAGTGAGCCTGCGTGCCTCGTGCAATTAAAAATAAATTTTAAATAAACGTAGGTGCCGTTGTCAGGATTCCAATGCGTGGGCAGCATGACTGATCCTCAACCGGGCAATACCCTGACACAGAGTCACCCACAGGGTCTTGGAGAGAGAGAGGCAGCCAGCCTCTGGGGGGTCACACAGCTGTTCTATTCAGAGGCAAATCTGGAGCCTGACCTTTGGGAAGGGGCATAGGTCAGGTCCCCACAGGTGGCCAGGGGGTGTGGCCCCTTTAAGAAAGCAAGGCCAGTAAGAAGAGCCCCAACCCCGGAGAGAGAAAGGAAGGGAGCAGGGCCAGTTGCTAGGGGCAACCAGTTGCCTAGCAACAGACTTCCTCTCTGCTAGCTCAGGGCCAGCAACTGGGGAAGGGGCTTTGGGCCCTGGTCCTTCCTAGACTCTCCTGTTCACGCATCCTCTGTGGCTCCCCACTAGCCTGGCCCTGCAGGAGGGGCCCTGTGCCCTCTCCTCACCAGCCAGTGTCACACCTCCAGGCTCCTGTCCAGGCTGTTCCCGTGCCTGGAGTGCCTGGACAATCTCAGCCTTCACACAGCAACCATGGCTCTGTGTCCTGGCTCCTCCTCTGGCTGCCTCGGAGGTACGATAGGGCTGGGAGAGTCAGGCTCACTCCCTGCCCTCCAGGCCGGGGGCTCCTCGGGGTCAGAGCTGGGCTGGAGTCTCTTGGGGGGAAGCATTGCCCCGAATTGGCTGGGTGTGCAGTGTTGGTGGCTGGGATGGAGAGTGTGAACGAATGAACAAACGAAAACAAGCCCATCTCACGTGGCCCCCTTGGGGCACAGTCCCCTGGCTTGGAGGGCAAATGAGTGAGGCGGCCCCTAGGGGTCAAGCCGTGAACTGCCCTCCCCCCCACCTCCCAATTCTCCAGGATGGGAAAGACAGGGAAACCCTCTGGCTGGAATAATGCTGGATCCTGGGAGTTCTGGCTGGCCCTGGGTTGGAGCCCTGACCCTGCACTTTCTCACTGGGCAACCTCAGGTGAAAGAGCCCCACTCTGAGCCCCAGGTTGTTTTTCACGCTGCGCTGGTCCCAGGTCACAAGGCCCATCTGGTCTGGGGTGTAGACGGAAGCCCAGCCTGTCTGTCCCTTTAGCTTCCATTCCTTACAGACCCTCCACTTGCCCACATTCTGCCCACAAGCTGCCAGGTCTCCCCCACCCCCATAAAAGCCCTTTAGGAGCACCCACCAAACCAAGAGTGGGTCTTACTTACCCAGAAATGCTCCCCAAAATACGACATCCTGGTGCCTTCTGTGGAGACCCCTGCAGACTCCTGCCTAGTGCCTGTCTGAGGAGAGAGGCAAGTGTGAGGTGCAACGTCATGGCTGTCTTGGGCCCAAGGAGGGGACTGTTTGCCCTCTCTGCGGACGAGAGAGAGAGAGAGAGAGAGAGAGAGAGAGAAGACAGCAGAGGCACCAAAAGCTGGGAGCATGCAGGGCTCCTGAGATGACTCAGTCCTGGACCAAGGAGCCCCAGTCTAGGAGGACAAAGCTGGATACAGATGCCCCACGTTCTGTGGGGTTAGATAGAGGGCTAGGGGCTAGAAGAGCCTAGACTAAAGGAAGGGGCAGGGGAACTGGGGTTCTTGAGCACAAATAGGAGTTCACTGTTGAGAAGGTTATTGGATGAGCCCTAGACTGGGGAGAAAAGTTGTTGGCCATTTTATTTTTATTTTTATTTATGTATTATTTTGTAAAATATATTGTATTGATTTTTTTACAGAGAGGAAGGGAGAGGAATAGAGAGCTAGAAACATCGATGAGAGAGAACCATCGGCCAGCTGCCTCCTGCACACCCTTCACCGGGGATGTGCCTGCAACCAATGTACATGCCCTTGACCGGAATTGAATCTGGGAACTTTCAGACTGCAGACCAATGCTCTCTCCACTGAGCCAAACCGGTTTCGGCTTATTTTTTATTTTTAAATAGATTTTTAGAGAAAGAGGAAGGGAGGAGAGAGAAAGAGAAATATCGATCAAAGGAACACCATTGATCAGCTGCCTCCTGCATGCACCCTACCGGGGATGGAGTCTACAACCTGGACATGTGGCCTGACTTGGAATTGAACCAGTGAACTCTTGGTTCCTGGGTCTATGCTCAACCACTGGGCCACACTGGCTGGGCTTTTGGTCACTGTTTAGATGGGAAAACGGGACCCCATCCCTGAGGGGAAACCACTTGCCCAGGCCGCACACTCAGGAATGGACGGTAGATTTGCACTCTGAGCCAGCTGAGTCCGGTCCCGAGCACTCTGCTCCACCCCGGGCAGCTCCTGGGGGAAAAGGGTTTGGTGAGAAAGGAACATGGGGGCTGCGACTAGCAACATGGGTGTGCGGGTCCCTTGGGGGTCTCCTGTACCCCCTCCACAACAGTCCCCACGTCATGCATACCCCTGGATCGGGGAGCTCACCCCTCACCCAGGTGCTACTGGTGCCTCCGTGGGTCCTCACCCTGCCCCCGGGGGCTGGTGTTCACCTGGTGTTTGAGTCACTGTCCGGCTCTGTGCCTCAGTTTCCCCATCTGCAAAATAAGAGAGAATGCCTAGATGGGGTCCTGCTGGGGGGAGGAGGGGCAGGACTCCCCGAAGAGGGGGTGGTGGGTCAGGCCACCTGGCGAGGGAGGGACACTGGGTGTCCTTGGCATGTTCTCGAGGCTGGGCTTGTCACTGGAGCCGCGGGCCCCATTCATCATTCATGACTCCGAAGGCAGCTCGGCGGCAGCTGGAGGCCGGGACGCACCGTGACGGCGGGCAGGGCTGGCGGCCCAGGACTGGCAGGCCCCTGGGCCTCACCAGGAAGGGCTGACCCCCCATTTACCTAATCTGGAAAGTGAGTCTAACTTGACCCATTCTAATCCAGCCCCAGTCCCTGCCTTCACCCAGCGCCCACCGTGTGCCCACAGGGCCAGGACAACCCAGGATCGGCGAGGCGACTCAGCCCTGGGCCTGCGCCCTGCGGAGCCCCCGGGGCTAGGGGACCAGAACTGGACACAGACACCCTGGCCTGCAGGGCCAGGGCTGGGCCAAAGGGAGGAACCAGAACTGGGAAAGCCTGCACTGAACGAGGGAGGCATGGGTGTTGGGTTTTCTAACACATGTGTATTTTTATTTATTTCAGAGAGGAAGGGAGAGGGAGAGAGAGAGAGAAACAATGATGAGCGAGCATCATTGGTTGACTGCCTCCTGCGCGCCCCTTCCTGGGGACCAAGCCCGCCACCAGAATCCACCTATGACCTCCTCCAGATTTATGGGCCAATGCTCAACCACTGAGTCACATCAGCCGGGCAGGTGCTGGGGTTTTAAAGCATGAATAGGAGTCTGGGCACACACACACACACACACACACACACACACACACACACACACAGAGTTGATTCAACAAATATTCCCAGCATTCACCCTGGTGGTGCTGGGGCTCGTGAGAAACTTCCGCGGCCAGTGCAGCCCCTGAGGAACCCAGCCTGTCATAGGAGGTGACATCCCCAAAAGGAAAGGCCTTGTCTCATTTCTTCGTTTCTGGCCTGAGCTAGACTCTGAGCATCTCTGAATCCCTTAGCGCTAGACTGACGGGCATAGGACCCACCAGCCTCGTGCGGCAGCTTTTTATTTTTTGTTTTTAATCCTTACCAGAGGGTATGTTTTTCACTGATTCTAGAGAGAGAGAGGAATGGAGAGGGAGAGAGCGCGAAACACCGATGTGAGAGAGAAACATTGATCCGTTGCCTCCCGTGCATTATGTGCCCTGACCAGGAATCAAACCTACGACCCTTTGGTGTACAGGACAATGCTCTAACCCGTGGTTGGCAAACTGCGGCTCGAGAGCCCCATGCGGCTCTTTGGCCCCTTGAGTGTGGCTCTTCCACAAAGTACCACGGCCTGGGCGCGTCTATTTTGAAGAAGTGGCATGGGAAGAAGTTGAAGTTTTAAAAATTTGGCTCTCCAAAGAAATTTCAATCGTTGTGCTGTTGATATTTGGCTCTGTGGACGAATGAGTTTGCCGACCACTGCCTTAACCAACTGAGCCAGACCTGCCGGGGCTGTAGCCACTTACTTTTACTTTCGTTGTTGTTGTTAATCCTTACCCGAGAAATTGATTGCCTCTAGCAGGTGCCCCAATGGGGGCTGGGACAGAACCTACAACCCGGGTCTATGCTCCTGACCAGGATCAAACCCAAGGCCCTTGGATGTGCAGGCCAACGCTCTAACCACTGAGCACACCGGCCAGGGCTTAGCCACTTAACTTTATACTAAGTAACTTTTAGATGAATCCCCTCATCTGTGCCAGCCTTGCTTCCAGGGCTCAGCTGGCAGCTGCCACGCAGGACAGCACGGACAGAGACTCCGGTGAGTGCTGTGTCAGAGGATCCTGGGAGCCACCAGGCCCACGTTCCACCGAAACCAAAAATCACGACCCTGTTTCCACAGCCCCGACCAGATTCCTCCCCCGCCGCCCCCAGGCAGCGATGCCCGTGTGCGTGGGGCGCGGTGCTCAGCTCCTCACAGGGCCCAGGTCACTGAACCTCACAGCCACACCAGGGAGCAGCCCCAACGCGACATCCGAGGACACGGAGGCCCAGAGCGGTCACCGTCCCCAGGCCCGTGGCCTGGCTGCCCACGGACTCCGCTCAGAGCCGTCCTGGTGGCTCCGGGCCTCCACGGCCACACCGCTCACCACGGCGATAGGAGGCAGCCTGGCGCCCGGGCTTGGCCAGGCCCAGGAAGTGACACCTGCTGTTTCTGAAACCCAGGGGCAGGGGGTGCGCTTCCTGTTCCCGAGGGGGACACAGCGGGGCCGTGGGGGCCCCCCCAGCAGGGCCCCAACTCACCAAACAGCGCAGCAAGCGGGGCTGGGCTCCGTCCGGCGGGGCAGGCACAGAGACACGCAGCCCCTGCCACTTCCGCCAGCCGAGGCCTTGGTGTGGGCGACAGGAAGCACACCCGCCCCGCCACCGCCCAACGGCTGCCTCACCTTCCCCGCCCGGGGCGGCACCCTGGGACCTCAGTGCTGGAGCAGGCCACAGACGCGTCCACTGAGGCCCCTGGCCCCGCAGCCCTCAGCCTGGGGCTACCACCCACCAAATCATCGTCGCGACAATCGTGAAATAATGGAACCCACAAACCGAGTACCAAGCCTGGGCTCAGCACTCCACAGCTCGCCATCCCGAGGGGGGCCAAGGATGCCTGCTTGTAAGCGGAGAAACTGAGGCTCAGAGCGGGGAGGCCATGTCCAAACGTGCACAGCTAATGGATGGCTGTGCTGAGTGAGACTCCACCCAGGGTCTCATCAGGACGTTCACAGGCTTGAGGCTATTTTGCCTTCCTGGGCCCCATGCTCCATTCAGAAAACAACTTAGCCCAGTCAGCGTGGCTCCGTGGGTGAGCATCCACCGAGGAACCAGGAGGTCGTGGTTCGATTCCCGGTCAGGGCACATGCTCAGGTTGTGGGCTCAACCCATAGGGGTCACGCAGGAGGCGGCCGATCAATGATGATCACTCATCATTGATGTTTCTCTCTCTCTCTCCCTTTCCCTTCCTCTGTGAAATTAAAAAAAAAAAAAAATTTTTTTTTAAAGCAAGAAAATAATGTATACTATAGTTTACAGCTACATTGGCATAAAGACAAATATATTAATATCATGTATTTCAATGTTTTCTTTGATTCCCACAGCTCATTTTTTCCCCTTCTGATTTTTAAAAAAATATATATATTTTATTGATTTTTTACAGAGAGGAAGGGAGAGAGATAGAGAGCCAGAAACATCGATGAGGGACAATGATCGACCAGCTGCCTCCTGCACACCCCCCACCGGGGATGTGCCCACCAATGTATATGCCCTTGACTGGAATCGAACCCGGGACCCTTCAGTCTGCAGGCCGACGCTCTATCCACTGAGCCAAACCGGTCTGATTTTAAGAGAAGTTAAAACATCTTCAGGGATCCCTAAAAGAATTACACCAGAGACACGGCGGTCACTGCACCGGATGGCGTAGCCGGTCCTGCTGCGACCCCGGTCTCCCGGCCTCTGTAAGGCCCGTGCGGAGCCCAGAGACAGACAGGGACTCACCCAAGGTCAAACAGCGGGCTGTCAGCTGACCAGGATGCCCCCCATCTCCTGGCTGCCAGAAGCCGGGAGCAGAGTCCTCCCTGGGGACGTCTGACAGGAGCCCTGGCACCGCCTGGAGCTGAACCTGCCTCCCCAGCACCAGCTCCCCCAAACCTGGGGCTCTGCGCCCAGCCAGGG